TGGCTGGCTGCTGGTGTTGGCTCTTGGGGACTCACCACAGACTGCTGATGGAAGCACCTACTCAGTGGGCTCCCCAAATAGCTTGAGATTTTTCACAGCATGGTGGCCTTAGGTTAGTCAAACTTTTTAAATGGTGCCCCAGGATTCTAACACAACAAGGTGAAAACAACACTGTCTTTTCTCCCACATGTATATCTTCAGAAGTCACATAGCATTACTTTACCACATTCATTGGTTACAAGTGAGTCACAAGCCTATCCAGATTCAGGAGGAGGGAATATAGACCCCACCGCTCTATAGAAGGATTGTCATATCTTAAAACTGCCACAATTGTCTAATCTTTACACACATTAATTCATGATACCTTTACCCCAATTGTGAGAGAGAATATTTTCCTCAAAATTGAGAGACTGTTATGCAGAAGATAATTCTCAGCTGAGGGGCCTGAGCATATGTATCTCTCTTTAATATATACAAAGGACTAGACTAGAATTGGCAAACATTTTTGGAAAGGACCTCATTGTAAATATTTTAGGTTTTTCAGGTCATATGACCTTTGTCACAACTCCTTAACTCTGCTGACATATTACAAAAGCAGGTACAGATAATATATAAACAAAGGAGCATGTATGGATTTCAATAAAACTTTACTTAATTTAAGGTTTGAAACGAATACTGAACTTCCTCTATAATTAAAGTCCTAGATACCTCAGTAACTGTTCAGTCTTGCTAGTGGACAGCGAAATCAAGCCTTGATATCAGTAGTTCCTTGAAGAATCTTTTGGAGTCATGCTTGGTGAAGAGGATGGGGCAAGTTGAAGTTCAGGGCTTTAGTCCCAGAGAAAAGTTTTGGTCAGATTAGAGCAGTCTTCAGTCTCAAGAGATAGACTGAGGAATTAGAATATTATCAGAACAGCAATTTTTAGTGAGGATCAAATGAGAAACTCAGCATTAAGATTTAGGACACAATAAAAGCTAATAGGAAGCCTGGGCTACCTCATTATCAGAAGAACATCAGAGGGATCAATGATCTCTGACTCAGGACCTAATTCATCACTCTTCCCTTTATGACCAGTGTCATTGTCAGATCTTGCTTTTTTCTGGTTAGAAATCTGTGCTAGCAGTAAGAAGAGAGAGTGACATTTGACTTAATGTCATGGCCCTTTGTCTGCTCTATCTGAATTCCCAAGTTAAATCAGCTCCAGTTATTTACGTGGTCTCCAGGGCTTTTTTTTTTTTTGAGTTTGAGTCTCACTCTGTCGCCCAGACTGGAGTGCGGTAGCCCCTCCTGGCCACCGCAGCCTTGACCTGCTGGGCTCCGGCAATCCTTCCTCTTCAGCCTTCCAAGTAGCCGAAACTACAGGCGTGCGCTACCATGCCCGGCTGATTTTTTGATGTATTGTAGAGATGAGGTCTTGCTGCCCAGGCAGGTCTCGAACCCGCGGGCTCAGTCAATCCACTCACCTCAGCCTCCCAAAGGCGCGGGATTACAGGCTGAGCCACCGAGCCCGGCTTCTAGGGCTTTTTTCCAAGAGAAAAAGTATTCACTTTTATTTATGGTTCTAACTTAAAGGCTAAGCTTTAATATAAAACAACCAACATGTTACCCAATAGTTACACTTTATTATTTTGCCACAGAGTTTCTTTTAATTTTTTCATGATTTCTGTTCAAGAACATATGGAATGGGATTGCAGCCATGATCTTCCTCCTATAGTCCTGATTGCCCTTCTCTGTTCTTTTTGTGTTTTTGTAATTACAGGAATTTGACCATATGGGTGTTGGATCATAACTATCACTATCTCACATGCAGCTATAGATCAACTCTTGATATAATTATAATTGACACATTTTTAAGTTCAAAAATATATTGAGTATTTGAAGATAGTCAATGAATTCTAGAGTGAGGAAGAGAGGGAAGATCCAGCATTACACAGTGGAGAACAGGTGATGTTTTCAGATTTTGTTCTGCTACTTACTAGCGATTGTGTGTGTGGTATCTATCTACTTGCTTAATTTCTCTGTCTCAGTTTCTGCATCTGTAAAGTGGAAATGATTATGCACACCACACAGGATTCTTATGAAGATTACATCTAATATTTATAAAGTACTTAATGCAGTACAGGGCATACTATAGTCTCTCAATTTGTAGTAACTGTGAGAGATATGATTAATATTCAGTGTATGTTTACTTATTTCTTCCACTATAATCTCCACGGGGTTATGTACTTACCTGCCCCACTGATTTAAGTTTTACCAAATAACTTGCTTTGGCCAGAGGAGCATAGGTGGAAATGATAGCACATGAATTTAATCTAAACTTTAAGGATCTCACATGATTCTACTTGCTCCTCTGGGAAATTATTGACCACTGCTATGACAAGAATATGTTTTAGGTAGCCACAATTCTGCTTCCTAGATAGCCTGGGCCCCAGACTGGGTGTAGAGCCACCCCAGATGATTTAAATCAATCTTGAAATCTGGAGTGAAGCTCAGGAGAGTTCAGCTGAAGACAATTGAAACCAGCAGCTCTGCTGTCACATGAGTGAGAAATAATTTCCTAGTTTTGCATTTCACAGATATTTTATAGTTGTTTGTTATGCAGCAACAGCTAACTGATACAGCCAAAGGGAGAGAGGAGAGAGGAAAAAAAAAGATTAAGCACACAATGAACTTTCAACCCAGGCATGAGGGAGACAAAGGAGTGAAGGTTAGTAAAGCTAGGTTATCATACTCTGTCAGAAATTAGCTGTACAATCTTTGAAAATATTCTTTGTCTATCTGACTTGAATTTCTTCTTTTTATTTTAGATAGCCCAATATAATATTTTTAGCCATAAACTTTTCTGTATCTATGGAAGCACTACCTATGAGCAAAGACTAATCTGTCATATTTGTTCAGAAGTAAGAAGGCTAGAAGGAGCTCTGATTAAAGTCAATAAAATTAAAAATGACATGAATAAATTAAACTTGGCCTTGTTCCTAAATTCTTGGCACCTTATAAAGAAAGACCATGAGGGATTTGGAAGAATTAGATTTAGGGCCAATGAAAAGAGCAACTTTTATAATTGAAAGAGATTTTGTGAATTCTTTTTCACAAAGTTATTTCAACGTGATAACACAAGCCATAGTGTAAATCTTTAGCTTCAAGAAGGTTTAAAATTCAGAGATCTTAGGTGAGTTTCATTGGTTGTATATTTTAAAAAAAGGATAAATTACTTGCCAACATATAAAAACAGGAAGTTTTACATAAAAATCTATTTATGTAAAATCTAATTTCTTTTGAAACAAAGGTTTGGCAAAACAGATCCTCTATTAAAGCACAAGAATAATCATTTGGAGCTAAATAAGAGCATTTTCCTTTCTATAGTACTTAAACTTTCTAATTTATTCCAGTCCCCACCTGACCTACATCACCCGGCTTGCCCCAGAAGACCTTTGAGTTTACAATTATTGGTTTTGAGAAACCTCAATGACTGATTCTAATTTGATACAAAGGAATCTTGAGAATGTGAAAATTATCATTCATAGTTTTAAATTGTTGTCATGAATGGTAAACAGATCTTTTCCCAAGGAACTCTCTGGTGTCCATCCTGGAGGAACGCAGAGGCCTGTTTTTCTATGAATTTTATAGAGAACAAGTGAGTTGAGCATCATCCCCTTTCAAAGACTGGAAATAGGATGGTCATCTTTACATCCAGAACCAGAACCTAACATCTCCCCTCCTAATTTACTCTTTTTCTATTATTCCACAGTTTGGCTCATGGTAACATCTATTCACCCATTTAGAAACCTAAAAATCATTTCTGATTTTCTTCTTTATTTTTTTCACTGTAGTCAGATTCACATCTAGGTTAGCAACTTATCTGAAATCACCCTTATGTTAATCTCTCTTTATTTTGTTCACATGACCACTGAGTTAGTACAGATTTATACCTGGGTTACTGTAATAATTAATAGGTATGTCTTACTTTCATGCATTCCTCCACACTCAAACTTCACATTATAGCCAGGATTTCTAAAACATACCATCAATCTACCCTTGTCATCCTCCTTTTAAAAGCTTTTTGCAGGCTGGTTATGATGGCCCATGCCAATAATCCCAGCACTTTGGGAGACCGAGGTGAGAGGATTGCCTGAGCCCACGGGTTTGAGACTAGCGTGGGCAACTTGGTGAGACCTCATCTCTATAATAAATAAAAAATTTAGCCAGGTGTGGTGATGCGTGCTTGTAGTTCCAGCTACTTAGAAGGCTGAAGTGGAAGAATAGCCTGAACCCAGTAGGTCGAGGCTGGAGTGGCCGTGGGCATGCTACTGCACTCCAGCCTGAGTGACAGAGTGAGACTCCAACTTAGAAAAAAACAAACAAAAAAAACTATTTGCAAGTTGATTTGTCATTGTCCACCAAGTATAAAATTCTCAATATAGCATTCCAAGGTCTTCAAAAATTAACTCCCTCTTGCTTCCTCTACATTATCCTTTACTACCTTTTGACACATACCCTATGTCACAGCCACTACCAAATCAAACTCTTCCTGTGTATGACTCTTTTTTTCTGGTCTCCTTACCTAGAATGTTCCATTTTCCACAGCTGTCCAGGAAACTTTTACTCATAATTGAAGCCTTAACTCAAGGTTCACCATTTCTTTGTTGTCTTTTCTGGTTCTCTTCAACAACAGGTCAGATTTAATTGTATCATTCCCTCCTCATTCCTCCAATAGTTATTGGAAACTTTATCTTTTGTAAGATTTACTATGATGGACATAATTAGTTGTTTATGTTTATTTTCCTACCACATGACTGACCTCTGGAAGGTAAGATCAGGTCTCATAAATCACAACTCTACTATCCATCACAATGTTGGGTACCTTGTGAGTATGGAGTATTTGCTTATAGAAGGAACTCAGGGCACCTAGATATCACTGGCTTAATGCATACCTTGGTGTCTGCATTGCCCTCAGTTTCTTTCCTGGGCAATGAGATCTGGCAGCCTAAGGTTCATCATGTCTGTTCTCAAGGTCCAGGCCAGAGAGATCTTTGACTTTTGTGGGAACTCCACTGTTGAAGTTGATCTCTATACCACAAAAGGTTTCTTCAGAGCTACTGTGCCCAGTGGCGCCTCAACTGGTATCAATGAGGCCCTAGAGCTCTGGCACAGTGATAAGACATGCTATATGGGGAAGAGTGTCTCAAAGGCTGTTGAGCACATCAATAAAACTATTGAGCATGCTCTGGTTAGCAAGAAACTGAACGTCATGAAGCAGGAGAAGATCAACAAACTGATTATTGAGATGGGATGGGATGGAACATAAATCTAAGTTTGGTGCAAACGCCATTCTTGGGGTGTCTCTTGCTGTCTGCAAAGCTGGTGCTGTTGAAAAGGGCACTCCCCTGTACCACCACATCACCAACTTGGCTGGCAACTCTGAGGTCATCCTGCCAGTCCTGACCTTCAATGTCATCAACGGTGGTTCTCATGCCGGCAGCAAGCTGGCCATGCAGGAGTTCATGATCCTCCCCATCGGGGAAGCAAACTTCAGGGAAGTCATGCGCATTGGCACAGAGGTTTAATACAACCTGAAGAAAGTTGTCAAGGAGAAATAATGGAATGATGCCACCAATGTGGTGGGTTTGCTTCTAACATCCTGGAGAATAAGGAAGGCCTGGAGCTGCTGAAGACTGCAATGGGGAAGACAGGCTACACAGACAAGATGGTCATTAGCATGGACGTGGTCGCCTTTGAGTTCTTCAGGTCTGGGAAGTATAACCTGGACTTTAAGTCTCCCGATGATCCCAGCAGGTACATCTCATCTGACCAGCTGGCTGACCTGTACAAGTCCTTCATTAAGGAATACCCAGTGGTGTCCACTGAAGATCCTTTCTACCAAGATGACTGGAGCATCTGGTAGAAGTTCACTGCCAGAATTGGGATCCAGGTGGTGGGGAACGACCTCACAGTGACCAACCCCAAGCACATCACCAAGGCTGTGGTTGAGAGGTTGTGTAAACCTACTGCTCAAAGTGAACCAGATCAGCTCTGTGACCGAGTCCCTCCAAGTGCACAAGCTGTCCCAGGCCAATGGCTGGAGTGTCATAGTGTCTCATCACTCTGGGGAAACTGAAGACACCTTCATTGCTGACCTGGTGGTGAGGCTCTGCACTGGGCAGATCAAGACTGATGCACCTTGCCAATCCAAGTGCCTGGCCAAGTATAACCAGGTCCTCAGGATTGAAGAAGAGTTGGGCAGCAAGGCCAAGTTTGCTGGCAGGAACTTCAGAAACTCCCTGGTCAAGTATGCTGTGGGCAGGCGAACCCTGTGCCTTCATCTCAGGGCGGCCAAAAGACCCCTCTCCAGACATCAGCACAGGCGACTTGAGGTCCCTGACCAACCCTTGTCGGGACCTCTGCTAGTTAACTCCCCTCACCCACGCCCATGGTGTTGTCACCGCTTCCGTAGACCTCCATAGAACAGAGCTCGACAGCTGAAGCCATGTCAGAAACTCTAGCATTATAATTATATCATTCATCCAAATCATTGTTTTCCTCACCTTGCTTTCCGCCGAGTCTAGAGTCATGTGTACCTCCAGTGTCATCTCCAAGGTGGACTTGGTTGAGATCCTCAGAAGGATTGTGTGTGAAATAAAAAGCCTCAGCGACCTAAAAAAAAAGGCATGAAAGAATTGCAAATAGATCTCTCCATGTTCCCTCAGTGCCACACAGTGTGGAAAAACTGGTGCAATAGTTTGGGGGTACTTAATAGAGCCTTAGAGAAAATGAAGTCGATTTCATTCTGTCTCATCAAACAATCCAGTTGACTAACACCAGCATTTCAATCCTCTGCTGTTTTCCCCTTTCCTAAAATTTTCACTTCCTTAGCTCTGTATCCCAGTTTCCAATACTCATCTTTGGATTGCCACTCAAATTTGACTGCATGTTGGAATTATCTGGAGAGCTTTAGAATACGAATGACTGAATTTCATGCACAGATATTGGTACAACTGGTCTAGAGGTAGCCTGGGTGTATTAATATTATTCTGATATACAGTCAAGGTTGAGACATTCTGTTCTAAGTCTTGAATTGATACTTTCTTGCAGTTCCATGCAACAAAACAAAACTGCTGACAAAAATGTTGTCCTCACTGTTTCAATAATCCTGTGTTCTAGGTTGGTCATATTAGTGTTAACCAGCATCCCTGGGTGCAAGGAGAATCAGATATAGGAGTTACAAATAAAAATATGATATCAATTATTCCATTATATTTTAATTATTCCTGTTATTTTCTTGATTTATAAAATAAACTTTACCCTGATAAGAATTTAAGTATCTCGTAATATTCTCTAGTTTTCTATATCATATATATTCATACATAGTATGTATCCATATATGCTTTTTAATATATATTTGATTCAGGGACCTGTAAATCATGGCTCCTCTGTCCTTTCTGGCTTTTTGTTCAACAAAATTGCCATGCTCCACTGAAAACAGATATCGTTCACTCAGCATCAGAATCACATGCTAAGAGACTTTTCAGTATCCAGCTTGTACACCAGGCTGAATCTTGAAATTGGCTTTCTACTGAAATATGATCAGCATGATCCAGAGGTCTTTCCAGCTCAAGTCCAGCTGGAAACTCCTTTTAGGACAAGCATTGTGAGTATACGCCATATGTCAGGGAGCGAAGGCAGTCATATGAATGTGGAGAAACAAAGATGAGTAGTAAGAAGAACTTTTTGGAGGAAAGGGAATTTTCCAAGCCTAGCTGACAAATCTGACTTCAGAAAGCAGGGTGCATTCAGTGGATGTTTCAGAAGGACAACAGATAGACTGGAGAAATGGAAATAATTAGGTAACATAACAAACTTTTCAGAATTAAATAAGGATACTCTCTTCAGATCAAAAGGCCCTTTATACTAAGGAGGATAAATGAAGAAAGGGCCCATACATGAATACTTTGTAGTGTGAGGACATGGAGTATAAAGTAAGATATTCTAAATATCTCATGAGCTATCAACTTATCTTGGGTGTGGCTAAAGTTGTATACTTCAGAAGAGGAGATATTGCAGAAACTTCATGTTTATTACCTTAGTTTCCTTTCTAACGTAAAGTGAGAAAAAAAGGAATTTGGAAAGTTAAATTAGTTAATACATGAAAGTTATTTTAATAGTGATTAGCACATAATCAATACTCATCAAATGTTTAATTTTATTATTATTATTAATCCATAATAAGTAGAATTTTTAAGGCTACTCAATGCTTTTCTTATGTAATTAACAGGGGATACTTCAGTGACTCCAAGAAGATTAGTCCCAGTAGTAATATTATTGTTTTTCATTGTTACTGTTGTAGTATTGCTCCTAGAAGAGCATTAGACATGGAGGGGAGAGAGGGAGGGACTGGGTGCTGTCCATGGTCCTGCCAGTACAGATATATTGAGGTTTTTAAAGATGCTTCAGGTGTACTCACATAGATGAAATAATATATTCTAAATATAATAAAGTATTTTTAGCTTTTAGTTCTGATCAGAAGATATAAATATGAACACTAAAGGTAAGAATGTGACTTCCTGAGGTGCCCAGTTAACACCCATGGAAGTATCTAAGACTCCAGAGAACCTGGCTCAGTTCCATAGAACGAGCCAGAGATACTAGTTTATGGCATAGTGTCTGTAGCCAGATTGAAGTAGCACTGTGGGAGCTTGGGAACAATCCCAGGAACTTGGCAGCCTGAACATGCTCAATGACCTTCTTGAAACTGACAGTTCACACGAGCTCCTCATTCCTTCTATTCTGTCTTGCATTTCTCTTTCTCTTGCAAAGCTAAAAAGGACAGTGTGAAAATTTACTGTCTCAATATAAGACCTTCAGTCTTGAGTTCTTTTATTTTATTTTATAGATGTGGGGTTCAACTCAAGACTGGGTATATAAGTGGTGTATGTATAGGTGAAATGAGGGCCTCCCATTGGACCTTACTTCACCTGAATTAGGATCAGGTAGCCTTCATGATGTTATTTCCTCCCCCTCTTTCCCCTGGTAGTGTCCCACTACTGTCAATCCCTTTCCTGTAGTATTATGCTAGATGTTCGGGGTCTACTTTGAGTGAGTACATGTGATACTCAGTTCTTTGTTTCTCTGCTAGATCACTGAGTGGTTTTCAGTATAAGTGGAGAAAACTACACAAACTCTACTGTAAGTTAAAAACAATAAAGAAGTTCTTCATAGAACAGAGACTGAAAAATTCTTTTATCATCTTTAAAAAAAAATATTTTCAAAGGAGTCAGATTTGGTAAAAATAGGGATACCAGTTAAGGGTCAGAAGAGCATTTGTGTTCTCATGGTGTCCTGGGGCTAAAATGTAAAGTTTTTCCTAGAGATTTTTGAATATACCAAAGCCAGAGGAGGTTGAGGAGCCAAAACCATTCAGTAGTGTCAGTGTTCAAAATGTAAAGATAAATCATTAGTAAGTTGCTATATTTAGCAAGGAGTTCGGAGGCAAGAAGATGAGAGTGGGTACAAACAGTTGAGGATCATACTAGACTCTAAGCTCTTTAAGAGCAAGATATGTACAATGTTTACCATTGCATTCCTAACCCCTGGTGTAGGGTCTGGAAAATACCCACACATTTATATAATAACTAACTTAGCAAACAAATAGTTTTACAAAGGAAAAGCTTAGAAGTTAAGAGAAGCTATTGACTATTCATGACTTTTTATTTGCTTGTTGGGGCTTATTCAGTGGTTGAGTTGACTGCGCTTCAAGTGCTTAGAGTAGAGTACAAACGTTCAATTTTTAAAAATCTCCTACTGATTTCCAGGTACTGTGCAAGAAATGAGTGATGCAAAAATAAAAAAGACAAAGCCTTTTCCCTTGAAAAGTTCAAAGCTTCACAAAATAAATGACATCCTTGCTCTCCATTTAACACATAGGAGTTTTCCAGGTAAAGAGAAGGAGGAATTTTCCAAGAAAATGGACTCTTATGTTCTAGAAACTAGCTGCAAATTTGCTAAGGTAGTTTGGTGTAGTTGAAGTATAAAGTGTGTGAGAAAAATGGTGATCTTTAATGTTTGTAAAGTTCCTAGACTTGAACCGGTTAGTAAAAGGGCTTTATCCTTCATCTTTAAGTCTTACCGCATTATGTTGAGGTTGATGAATAGCAATGAAATAATTTTATTTTATTTTAGTTTATTTTTTGAGTTGGAGTCTCACTCCTTTGCCCAGGCTGGAGTACAGTGACACGCACGCTCACGACCACCCCAGCGTTGACCTGCTGGGCTCCGGTGATCCTTCCACCTCAGCCTTCTGAGTAGCTGGAACTACAAGCGCGTGTTACCATGCCCGGTTATTTTTTTATTTTATTGTAGAGATGATGTCTCGCCAAGTTTCCTGGGCTGGTCTTGGACCCGCAGGTTCAGGCAATCCAGTTGCCTTGGCCTCCCAAAGTGCTGGGATTACAGGCTGAGCCACCAAGCCCGGCCATGAAATAATTTTAAATGATTGGAGTTGTAACCATCATTCTGGGTACACATATGAGAATGGAATGAAGGGATAGATACCAGAAGCAGAAAGACCAGTTATGGAACCCTTTGTTGTCCATGTAAGAAATGATGAAACTCAGAACTAACATCCAGAACTGGTAGTGGGTAAAAAAAAGAAGATAAATTTGACAGCAGTTTAGGAGTTGACATCAAGAAGTTTTGGTGAGACAATGAGGATTACTAAAATGTTTCTAACTTTAGAAATTAGGTGGATGGTGATGTTTTCTGTTCAAGATCAGACCACAAGAGGTCAGTTACTAAGGTAATTCATTTTGGTATGTTAGTGTTGAAATACCTGTGGATTTCACTGTTCTGTGTCTGTTGGAAGTGTGAGTCTGGAGCTCAATAGAGAGTAGCAGATGTTGGCTTCATTGTGATTCTGATTTTCCTAAGTATTCTACTTCATAAAGGAGAAAATTCCTCATGGGCTCTTTCCAGCAGGCTTCAGGGAAGCTGAGGTTTTCTGCCCTTCATGAATACTATCCTTGTTCCCCAAATTTATGTTTACTCTATCAGATGAGGTCTGATTGCTAGACCCAAAGCCCAAATGCTCACTCCTATGGCTAAGGACCGACCATCCAGGGTCTCTAATCTTTTTTACACTCTTCAAGAGGCAGTCCCTAACAATGTCTATTACTCAATGGTTGTTCACTCCCAAGTTTATCTCTCCTTCCCACCTTCCCAGTAATTTGTCAGCTGTTCTATTTTGACTTCTTTTCTAGTCACTGAATTAAAATCTTCTAAAGTCTCCTTGGAACTCTTAATTGCTCATTGTAATAAGAAGATATTTACCCTTTTCTTAATTGATCTCCCTACAACCTTTGAAACTCACTACTCTTTTCTTATTGAAAAACACTCTGTGACCTTTTTAGATTGACATTCTTCTGTTCCCCGCCCCACTCCAAACCCTGGCTACTTCCTTTTCAGTTCTCTT